TTTTTTTTTTTTTTTAATTTACAGACACTGTTCACATTTTAATACCGTCGGACTTCCGTCAAACGGTCGCCGGAGACTCGTCGGAATGTTCAACATCGCCGGAGACTCGTCGGAAATTAAAAAACATGTTATGAAACTGTAAAATTTTACAGTTTTAAACCATGATTCATTCCAGCACCCAAAAAAAATTTTGAAACTGCAAAATTTTACAGTTTTCACCGCCTGTAACTAAAACTTGAAAACTACTTGTTCAGAATTTGAAAATTTTCTCTATTAGAACAGAAAAACAGAAGTGTATAGCAGAGAAAAAAAAAGAGATCGAAGGAGAAAGGCGGATGTAGAGAGAGGATTGTACTCCGACAACTATTTTTTGTTTAGATCTAGCCAAATCTGATGTAGATCTACTTAGATCTGATGTAGATCTGAGTAGATCTACATCAGATCTGAGTAGATCCACTTATCTTCTTCGTCGGAAATATATATCATCGCCGTCGGTGAGAGTGAAATCACGAGTTGATTTCGATGATTGGCAGTTATCAGTGAACCCCGATCAATGGAGAAAGACATGAACACTTGCACCATTGTCTATGACGAAGACGATGAGAGAAAAATGTAGAAAAAAAAAGGGAAAGAAGAAAATGTAAAAAGGGAAGAAAAAACCAGAGAGATGGAGGAAAGGACTTTTGAGTGTACCCAAAAAATTATGGGATTAAATGGTATCCACATGTTCCACATGGGACCTCTAGGTAATTTCCCCATAAAAAAATTAAATCGCTATTTTAACGGATAAAAAATTGAACAGAAAAAAATTGGAAAACTAGGATAAGAATTTGAACAGATAAGGAATAAAGATTGAACAAATAATAAAATTTGGACAAATATTTGAACAAGTGAAAAAAATTGAACTGATTGTCAAAATATTTGCACCAAATTGATATAAAGTTGAACCGATAGAAAAAAAATTTGAACAAATAGAAATAATTTAAATAAATAATCAAAAAAAGTCAACAGATAAATTAATAATTAAATTAAAAATAAAATGTCCCCTTCAAAACAATAAAAATATTTGTCACCAAACTATTTCACAAGAAGTGAATTTTTCACTAATAAAAATATCTACTAGGCTTAGTCTTATATTCTCTTAGGTTGAAATTTTCAACAATTTTCTCTACTTATTAATTACATTGAAAAAAATTCATTAAAACAAAAAACTCAAAAATATTTTTAAACACTCCAAACTAAACAAGGTGATTGTACCTCAATTATTACACGGTACATTTATAGACAATATATGATATATCATGCAAGCAAGCACAACACCATGTGGGGCAAACTCCTGCCACATTGTGTTTGCCAGTACCCAAATTGGGTAGAAATATATTACACTGGCAGAGCCCTAAAGACACCAATTTGAATGAGGTTTTTTTGTTCCTCCAAAAACAAAAACAAAAACAAAAAAAGCAAAAAAACAAAAAAACAAAAAAACAATGATAATTTATACGAGGCTCTTGCTCCAGAGCTCTATCTCCTGTATTTCTGAGGTGCAAAAGCTATGCTTCAGCCTGCAATATCCTTAAGCACCATGAGAACAAACTCTATAGAAGGAATGCAAAAAAATGGCTTCCTAAAGAAAACTCTGAAGCTCCAATGAAAACAAAATCAAATATAAAATAGGTGAGGCACCAAGTTTTTAAAACTCTGAAGCCCCCATGTGAGGATATGTTCTCTCCTTTGAAAGACCGTGTAATGCAAGGCTTTGATAGTGATACCATTACTGTTAACATGTAATGAGGACTAGTGTTTTTATTTGGTAAAACTAAGTAAAGATACAAGCAATGCTTTTATGTAAGGTGTATCGAATTCTCTCAATAGAATAGATGTCAAATGAATGACAAACGTATTCTTGTCAGAGGCTGGCAGAACAAGACGACTTCATGCTTGTTAGAGGCTGGCTAGCGGACCCTTGCTTCCTTGCTTTAATCAATTGTTGGAAAACTTTGGGAGAAGCTTAGTGCATCGCTTAATAAGACAGCTTCTTCTTGGCTTTGACCCATCCTCCAAACCTTGAAGTCTGGAGGGAAGTAGTTAGCATCACTCCAACGTTTCAGTGATTCCATTGGAAAGGGCCCCTGTACCTCTCCCTGGGGATCCACATAATGCCATATTGACAATTGTCCGCCAGCATCTTCAACTTCTTTATCATCATCACTCACTTCAATCACCTGAGTTGCCACAACCACCTGCTCGTGCTCATCAACTTTTCCATGAGAATCCTCCTCGAATTCATCCAAGTTCTTCTGTTCTTGAACAAATTGAGCTGGCTGATCTTCTGCATCATTATCAATCAACAAACAATATAACGAGTTCCAAGTGAAAAACACTTTTTCATGTAAATAAGAACCTCAACCAACAATAAATTAGGTCTAAAATTAATAAAAAGAATTTCCCCCTTTTAATTATTTTTTCTGCTTTCATGTTTTGGCCAAATGTATTAGAAATCTAAAATCCTCCAACCCAACGAACTGGCAAGGTGTCTCCCCAGCAGGTGCTGATATGTTAATGAACTTTTGAATGCCTGATCCAATTAAAAGTAGGTTATAGAAACATTCAAACTTATGATTTATGCACTCATCTAGTAGATAACCAACTAACCATGCTTGGAGTCATGACTAGATAAAGATACTGTCATTATGATTTACTAATATATTTGCAATATTAGGTTCGATTAAGGGTTTGTCTAGTGGATTATGTTTCTTATGTCACAAAGGATCATAAGTTAACATATTGATATATTTAATTCCACCAAGAAAAAGATCAAGGGTTAACAATTTTTTTAGATGCATTAAGGTCATCAATTTTATTGTCATATTTTGACGTCTTGAAAGCAACTTGTATTCCTAAAGAAATTAAAAGAAAAAAATTATTGATTATTCTGAGCATGGTTTTATTCTTAGAATCTTCACTGCTCTGATTCCAGTTATCTTTATATACTACATTACAATCAATAAAAAAAGCTCCAATGGTCATATTGACGTCCTATTTATGTAAAAATTCTAAGGCCACAGGCTTCAAGCAACAATCATCGACTGTCCCTTCAAATCATACATTTAGTCAAAGATTTCGACCACTCGTTAGTTTTCATTAATGTAAATAAAGAAACAAATAAACAAAGGGTTAATTACATGGAAGGATCTAACAATTGTAGGGACCTCCATTAAAATTGTTAAAATTACACTATCCTCTCATGTCTGGGTTGTTGTCGGTTAACTGACATTAATAGTAAATGTGCAATTACCCCTTTGCCCCTTCACTAAACCGATTTTCAATGACACTATTTTTTTTTTTAATTTAAATTAAAAATAAAAAAGAAGAAGAAAAAAGTAATACTAATTTTTCCTAATACCCATATCCAAACACCCATATAACCCTCTACGTCTCTTTCTCTCCTCTCTACCAAAACTTTTCTTCCAATCCCTCTTTCCTCACTCCTATTCTTCTTCCACCGCCCCCTGAAGCCCCCTGGGCACTGGCACCACAACCACCTAAACCCCATTGGGCCGCCAAGACGAACTCCTCTTTCTATACAAGTGAAGTTAGTTTTATTGGAATTTTTCTTTATGCTTAACATGATTTTAAAATTAAGCTTTGGTTTGTAAGTTATCTAATGATATTTAATTTTGGTTTATACTTTACTTTTGGCACTAAATGTGAATTGTAGGTTAGATCTGAACCAACTAAACCATTTAACTAATTATTGCATTATTTCAAATTAAAAATAAATATTTTTATGAATGTAACAAATTGTTTTCCATACCCTACTTTTTTAAGGTTTTACTGTATTAACATTCCCATATCATACCAGTACCCCTACATGTGCTTCGTAGCAGTTGGTTCATGACCACCATAAATGGATGAGAAGAGAGAGGGAGAAAGGGAGGCATGGTGAGGAAAGCAAAAGTGTAATGGGAAAGGGGTGTTTGGTTATGGGTATAGGCGTAGTTGTAAAACCGGTTAGGGGTATTAGCATAGTTGTAAAACCATGATTTGAAACGTGAATCAAAATTGCCTTGTACCGAATCAAAACATGAATCGTAAAGGTTCAATCACTTTTTCTAAATTACTTATAAATATAAAATACTTAAACTTAAATCAATGAAAATATTGTTTGAATGATGATCATGTGGTTGCCTTTCCTCCTCTCCTCAGACCACTTCAGCTCTCACTCAACTCACATTTGGTGCCTATTATGTGCCTACCACACTCCCCAAAAGGCTTCCTCAGCCGTTGACTCACCTCCAACCATCCACAAATGGTTACAAATAATATTAGTTATTGGCAAAGTTAATGGGTCATCACTTAAAAGGCAATTATCTAATGTCACTCCATAGCCTACCCCAAAGATGTGTTAAGTTCTTATCAGTTGTGTTGCTAAAGGGGTAGGTGAAGGAGCTTAATTAGAGGCAGAGGCTTCTACTCAAGTTTGTGAATAAACCTTCATCCATCTTCGGCTAACTTTGCTGATTGAATAATCACTTTTACCCAGTTGAATAAAATGAATTTTGTACCTATTTCAGGATTATTGCTTTAACTGGAGGCATCTTCAAGGTGCCTAAGAATTGGAATTGAGACTCGAGGAAACACACATATACAAGAGGCACTTTATTTCTGCAAGCCTTCAATGCAAATGAAACAATTTGACATTGAAATCCATAGCCCGAACCATCAGATAAATCAGTGCCACTCATAAAAACATAACAGTCTGATATTATGCAATCTAATTATAAAAACAAGTAGACTAATTTTTAGAGGCTGAAGATGTGAACAAGTTTCCAAACCTAAACACACACACACACACACCCACATCACTTTTTTTCATGGGACTTCCAAGTGCACCTTAACTAATTTATACAACTACTAGCAAGCCAACGAGAAGGAAAACAAATAAAATTTATGTTAATGACGCACCTGCAGCATCAGTACTGCTGAAGTTTTTGGTTGACAAAGTTTGATTTGCCTCTAACTCACAGGTAGAAATCTCTGATGCACCCCTAAGAATTGATCTTGGGGAACCATAACTTCCTTCTTGTGGTGTAGCTTCCTGCTCTATTTCATCTGCAGTTACTTTTGGAACCTCAAGCAATAGTCTCGACTGTTCAGACGGTGTTTGAAGCAGCTGCTTTCTTTCCAGGTACTCAAATAACGTAAAGGCTGAAGCAGGTTAAGGATCCAATGATGATTAACGACTTAGTGTATATCTGGTTTTTCTTTTGACATATTGGTTACCTATGATAAGATACCATTGCAAATAATCAAACACGCCTGTCATTTCACAAAAAGATGGGCATTAACTGCGTTGTTCATTTTATGAAATAACCAGTATCATGCAGAACAACAGAATCTTTAAGGAATTGTAGGAATGCAGTATCACAGCAGAGAAGCTGATTCTCAGCCAATAAACCACTGCTCATACATATACATGCACACACACATTTTATACATGTGTGGGATCAACTTGTAAATGCCGTCAGCATCGTGACTATTACACTACTTGATAAGAATTTGTGGAACACATTTCCTCCAGCGGAATAAAACATAAGGTACCTTTAAATTGTATGCATCTAAAGCCAGGATCAAATTAGACCTAGAAAGAACTAATATTCTTACACCCCTTGAGACTTTGTGAAAGATATTTTACCAAGCACATTGTTGGCCAAGATACTCTTATTGTTATGTTCTGTAAACTAAAAAGAAGCTGGAAAACAATACCTATAACATCCAAAACTAAAAGTTTAACAGAATTCTATCTTTTTTGGAAGGGTGGTAATTAATGATATTTGAGACCCATGTAACACAAATACCGTCTCCAACATTATATTTCAACATTTCAGCATAATGCTTCGATGGAGAACACTAATAAAATCTAAGGATGAACAATACTCACCCCTTTGGTACTTGTAGCCAGTAGTTATATTATCATATAGATATGTATTGAGAAATGCACTTCAAGATAAGGGAAAACTTTTAACCATGACACATAATACTTAGACATCATTAAAGGATATTCTTTGCGCCATCCCTTCTCATTAGCTCGATCAATGAGATTTTGCAACAAGGTAAGCTCTCTCACCAACCACTGTAAATAACTCACAAAATCACGCAAAAAAGGATCAGGATCAATTAAAAATAAATAATAACTAAAATTCAACCCCTTAATCACATCAAACGGAAAGGGCAGTTGAGACATAGCTCGATGCAGAACATGGTAGTAGAGTTCTAAATTGACGCCAAAAGCTCATGACATCATGCAAGGGAACAAACATACTTTAATAGAATGCACATCATTAGAAAAAGATTGAGATTTTTTTCATAATCAATATTGACACGGGGTAAAATATGATCGTTTTAATAATTTAACTACTATTAAGCAATGGTTATTTCTATTTCAACCAAAATATTACAAGTTCAAAAACAACACCCACATATGATGCTTCACACAAGGGGTTTGATTATCTTGTAGCCATTGGTTATGTTTTATGGGCTTAGCTTTTATGCAAACCTTCGTTGTTACAAACTTGTCTTGAAATCGCAGCATATACTCAGCAAAGGAGAGTTTGCTACTTAAAAAAATAAAAATAAATAAATAAATAAATAATAAAAAAGAATAATCCCTATTATTAAGTTCTAATAATTTAATAGTTTTCGTTGACAGCATACTCAACAAAGGAGTCTGTTACTTTTAAAAAATAAAAAATAAAATTAAAAAAGAATAATGTCTTTAGTGACAATCCCTGTATTATTGATACATCCCATAGTGAAAAGGGCAAATGTCCCAGATAGTGCACCAGGATACAAGTAGTCATAATTCAATACTCTATAGAAGATTATTGTACACACTCAAATTTAGAATCAAGAAAATACAGCGATAAAACATAATTTCAAAACATTTGGCTCATTTTCCAAAGGAAACAAATAAAATGACCCAAAAAGTAGTATTAATAAACTTGATCTAGACACAAGATTATGATCTGATGGTAAAGTTACAAGCAATTACAGATTTGATGGTAACATTGTTTGTAACATTCCCTAGCTCAATAAATAATTAACTAATCTGTAAATTGTAACACAACTATGTGACGTTAAGTATTTTATGCATATATGAAAATTTGGTCTTTATTCATTTGCAGAAATATTGATCATATTCTAGTATCTAAGACTCCACTTGGGGATATACCTTGTCTGGGTAGCTAAGAAGCGGACACGGATATGGATGCGGATACGGGACACAGCGATTTCAAAAAAAATGGGGCCACGGACACGGACACGGTGGGGACACAACAATAAAATATATTTTCATATATTTTTATTTGCTATCTAGGTTAAAATTACATCCATAAACAATCAATATTAACAAAAACTAACTCTAATTCTTTTTTCTTTTTTCTTTTTTTTTTTCAAAAAGCACTTTTAAATTAACACAGTTTATATCTTTTTTTATAGATGATCTATTAAGTATTTAAATCTAAGAAAAAAAATAATAAACATTCAACATTTAACAATCATCAAAAACACTAAATAAAATGGGAGAAAATATAACTTGGCATGTCCCTAGTGTGTCCCTTGAAAATGAATTAATTAAATAAGGGAACACGCCATGTGGTGTGTCCCCGAAGTGTCCGTATGTCCGACACGGATACGGCACTTGTTTTGAAGTGTCGGTGCTTCATAGCTGGGTAGTGATACCAAGACTTTGATTCAACTCTTCCCAGTAGCTTTACCGCACAAACACTTGCCCATCACCTAGTGTCAAAAAGGGAAATAAAATGTTATGTTCACTGTTGTCCTTATTAGAAAATACCAAACTCCATTGTCAAACTTTACCTACAGCTTCTATGTCCATTGTGTTAGTGTACATTATTAGGTTTGTCAATTTCATAGCACTGCATACATCACGTTGGAAGCCAGAAGTGCTATCAGAGATCTTCACCAATATTAAAGGAGTGCTATGGAAGAGCTTCATCATCATGAAGAAAGCTCTGGACATGGAGGAGACCAAGTTAGGGCAAATTGGGCTAAGACCAAGCTGACAAGCCCAAGCTTGTCAGCTTGATCGACCATGTTCTGGAGCGTGGTACACTATAGGAGGTCCAGAGAGCAATCTTAAGAAGTGCTAAAATATGGTCGACCATCTTGATAGATGTAGTCAAACATAACACGAATTCCTGAGAACCTAGAAAGGCCAAGCGATAGTATGGTCAACCATCCAAGTGGATGAGGTCAACCATAGTGGTTGATGTTCGACCACACCTGGGAAAATTTCAAAAATATAGACATTAATTTAGCAGTTATTGGTGGGGGCTATAAATACTAAATGCCCCATTTGGTATAGATTGATGAGGTATAGCACATAAACTCATAATACTCTCTAGATCACATCTCACAGAGATTCCACCTTTGTATGAGTGAAAGTAAGCTTGTGTAACCTTGGTTGGAGGACTTACTCCCATTAGAGCCTTGAGTGCTCACTTTGAAGGGATATTTTCCGATTTTAGTATTATACTTTGTTGTTTACACTAGTGTCATCACACACCTACAATTGTAGTCTAACATCGTGCCACTAAGAAGCTATAGGTGAGCTTCTTATTCAAGTGATTGTTAGGATTGTGTTTGGCAGTGGTTGGTTTGAGGTTGAGCCAAGAAAATCTTATTGTTTGTATTTGATTATTGATTGATTATATTGGTGTAAAGGTTTTAAGGTTGTCCTAGAAAAAACGTATTGATGTAAAGATTTTAGGGGAACCTTGGGAAAACCTATTTGGATTAGTAGAGAATGCCAGCAAGGTAAGCTAGGACTGGATGTAGGCACAAGGGTGTGTCCACCACTACAAATCTTGGTGATCATTGTTTTACTTACTTGCATGTTGGTGTAAAGGCTACCCAAGGAGTAGATGAACGAAGGTTTGAGATGTTGCTCCTTTGCGTCTCATATGGTGCACATGCAGATAGAGGAATTGCAGATCGTTTGAGGGGAAGGAATTCATATGTAAAGGAACATTGCTGGCATCCTTATTTTTTTGGCTCAATAATGACATTCCCTTTTCATTCTATTCTTATGTAGAGTTTTGAAGAATTTGTAGATCTCCGTAGTTATATAGGGGGTTTTTTGGGCTTCTTTTGCGTCTCTATGTGCAGAAGGTTGCACCCCTTCTAGCATTTTTATATATTACAGATACCAAGTATGAAGCACGGGTGCGGGTACGATACGGGTATGTCGATACGGCAAATTCTTAAAAAAGTAGGATACAGATACGGCCGAGGTACGTCAATTTTTAATTTTTTAATTTTTTTTTTAAATTGATAGCTAAACATCCAACATACAAATCAAAGTTTCAATATCAAAACTAAAAAGAGAATAGCTTGTCTAAAAAGTTATATATTCTTTTTTTTTCTTCTTTGATTGTCTAAAACATGATGCAAAAGAGAGCAAAACCATGACTCATGGGTAAAAGATGTTGGAAATATTACTTGATATTTTCAAAATTGAAAGAAGAATAATAAAGGCTAAAATAAATTCTAGCAGCTGCAAAAAAAAAAAAAAAAAAAAAAATCACCTCGCCGTATCGGTACCGTACCCACGACGTATCTAAATGTATTTTCCATAGCCGATATGAATTCGGCGTACCCGGTATGCGTACTGCCGTACCGGTATGCGTACCCGCACTCGGTAAGTACTCGGTACTCGTACGGCACCATTTTTGAAATACCCGTGCTTCATAGGATACCAATAAATAAAAAAGGCAAAACAAAAGGATCCTTAAATCTTTTCGTTAACTTTTGTTAATCTTCGGTTTCTTACTGAGACCAGGACTACATACATGCTTCGTTATATCCTCATGCAACATTTGGGCCTTCTGTTGAAACTCCACCTGCGAAGGGAGGTAATCCAGTTAGAATTAATATGTAAGCTATTTAATTGCATATGGTATGAGGAAATGTTTATTGTATATAACAATGGAAAACCAAAAACAAAACTAAAAAACTTGATCAAGTGAACAAGTTATGCCAATTTTTAACTGAAGATAGGACTAAAATAAATCACCATTTTAATAATAGTATTAGTTATTTAAATATAATGCACTGAAACATCAGATCTAGTATATTTTATTATCAACTATCTCAACAGCATAAAATACAGAGAGCAGATTGATAAACATATTATCATCATTTGAAATGATAAATTTGGTATCCAATAGAAACAATGAGAAGAACAAAACCAAACCAAGCCAAGCCTTAAGTCCCATCAAATGGGGTCAGCTACATGAATCCTTCTTCTCCACGCGACCCTGTCAAAGGCCATTTCATTAGTCAAATTAAGTAGATTCATATCTCTATTTAAAACGCTAGTCAACGTTAATCTAGGCCTACCCCGTCCCATAACACTTCCATCTACCGTTACAGAATCGCATCTCTTCACTACTGCCTCTGTTGGTCTCCATTGAATATGACCAAACCATCTCAAACGATTCTCTCTCAACTTACCTTCTATCGGTGCTACTCCTACCCATTCCCGAATACACTCATTCCTAATCCTGTCTTGTCTAGTCTTACCACACATCCACCTTAGCATCCTCATCTCAGCCACACTCATCTTATCTACATGTTGTTTCTTGGTTGCCCAACACTCCGTCCCATACAACATAGCCGGTCTAATAGCCGTTCTATAAAACTTACCTTTTAGTCTAGTGGGTATTCGTTTATCGCACAATACCACAGACGCACTTCTCCACTTACACAATCCCGCCTTAATCCTATGGGCCACATCTGCATCAATCTCTCCCGCTGTTGTGATAATCGACCCTAAATAACGAAAATGTTTACTCTTAGGCAATTCTTGGTTCTCAATCTTCACTTCTCCTCTGCTTTCATTGTTACTGTTATTAAATTTACACTCCATGTATTCTGTCTTAGTTCTGCTTATCCGGAATCCTTTAGATTCAAGAGCTTTTCTCCAAATCTCTAACTTTGTGTTAACTCTTTCTCTAGTCTCATCCACTAGTACAAAGGGGAAAATTTAAAAGCTTAAGCTAAAAGCTAAATATTTAGTACAACAAGACTAACAAGTCAACAACTGAAAAGTTTTCAGGTTGTAGATGTAGCTGGAGAAAAATCACGGCACACTTCAAGAGACAGCAAGTTATCAAGAGTTCCAGTGCATTATGTGTGCATATCACCATGCTTAAATAGACAGTTTGCACTGCTGATAACAAGTTCTACTACAGCTGTGTTTAAATGGAAGTAATGTAATCAAACGGTGGAAGTAAAGTAATCTCATTTCAGGTCTTCCTCATTATGTCATTTGGTTGTGTTGTGTGAAGAAATGGAATGTGATTTACAATTATGATTTCCCACGGACAATTTATGACCAAACCAAATGCTTTAATCGCAACAACACAAGAATCTGTTCCTAGCAATGGGATTCCATTCCTTCTCTTCAACACTTCCTTGAGACAACCTTTAGCATTAGCACAAACAAACCAAACCAAACCAAACCAAACCAAACCTTCTGTCCTAGTCAAGTGGGTCGACTACATGAATTCTTTTTTACTAACACGTCCATATCAGTTTATGTCTTTCCCTCCCCCTATTGTTCCCATTTGTGGTGATTATATCATTCTTCCTTAATGTTGCATCTATAGACTTTTGTTGTACATGACCAAACCATCTTAGCATGTACACTCTCAACTTATCTTCAATTAGTAATACTCTTGCCATTTCATGAATATATTATTTCTAAGACCATATTTCCTAATCCTACAACACAACCATCTTAACATTCTCATCTCACGCTCCGTTTGTTTGGACGGAAAATGTTTTCTATGTAAAGCCTTTTCCCAGAAAATGTTTTCCGGGGAAAATATTTTTCTATGTTTGGTGGTGGTGGTGGTGGAACAAAGGTGGTGGTGGTGGTGGAACGAAGGTGGAGGTGGAGGTGGTGGCAGTGACATGATGGTGGGGCAACGGTGGTAGTGATGACGATGGTGATTGTGGTGGTGGTGGTGTGGTGACATTGGAAAAATTTTAGTTTGGAAAATGTTTTCTGCCTTTTAAAAGTAGAAAACATTTTCTATCCAAATAGGCTTGTTTTCCATTGACCATGGAAAATGTGCTGACTTTCGTTTTTCATTTTACCAAACATCAGAAAATACAAGAAACATTTTCCAAAAAATACTTTCCGCTCAAACGAACGGAGAATTAGCTACACTCGTTTTATTTATTTTTTGATCAGCAACAGAAAAGTTTAATTTTATTAAGGCTCAGCTACACTCATTTTATGATCGCTGTTCCTTAGTTGCTCCACATTATGTCCGGTAAAGTATCGTTGGTCTTGTAATCATAAAGAATCATGGGCCTTATAATTGGCAATGCTTTACTGATACCAAAAATCTTGACATAGAAGGTCATGTTCCTGTCTAAGCTTTCTTTCAACATAGAGAATCCAGTTCCAATAATCCTTATGTTATCTCTTAACGGTTAGATTTCTTGCTGATGAACAATTATTAGTCATTTTTTTCTCGAAAGAAAAGTAATACAACAAAGACCAGACAACAAAGTTCATCTTGTCGAGTAATACATTAAATTAATACATATAGAAACTTACAACAGTAGGCCTCTTGAGGGAACCACTTTTTACTCTTTGACGCAAATCCTCACATTCTTCCTGCAATCACCATGACAAAGCTAAGACACAAAATGCAAACAAATATTTGTACATAAATATTTTTGTTTCTGTTATTCATTAAAGAAACCTTGCTAAAAATTCCACACACACACACACACACACACACACACAAAAAAAAAAAAAACCTCCAGATTGCTCAACATTACAACTCACAAGTTGATCTACGAGCAAATCATAACTGAGATGTCAATATTACATGATCAAGGGCTGCCATTCAGGTAACCAGTGAGAAATTCTCCAATTGATTGATAAGAAAGAAAGTTTCTACTGTTATAATCAGCTTTAGAGGTGCACAAAATAATACCCAAAAAAACCCAAGAACGGAACCAACCCGACCTCTATGGATTTGGTTGGTTCAGTTTTTTAATACATTGGTTCAGTTTTGGGTCTTAAAATCATTAACTTGATAGGATTGGATTGGTTCTCGGCTCAGGCCATGCCTAAACCAAACCAACCATAGGCCTAAACTAAACCTATATATTGCTTAATTTTTATTTATGTTGACATTGACATATTTTCATGTAATTGGTCTGTTGCAAATACAAATATGGACTTGATTGCACCTTGTCATTTCATATAGAAAAGAAAAGTAAGTGCTAAATGTGGACTTGATTGCAACTCATCATTTCATGTATAAGAGAAAAGTTAGTGCTAAATTATAAGACTCATCTTCATTTACTCCTTTGTCCACCAGACTACTCATCATCTTTCACATATTAGGTTATAATTCATATATAACTAAATTGGTTTCATTTTCTTTTAAAACAATATTTTGTTCTTCTTTATTTGTGTTATGTTAAAGTGTTCAACGTATTCTAATTTTTTATTGTTGAATGTTCAAGACTTGATTATTCTAACCAATTTGATTCACTTATTTTTAGTATAGTGGAACTGCAGTTCCAACCTTGAACCAACCCAAGCTACATTAGGTTGGGTTGGTTTGGTTCTAGTGTATGATTGGTTCAGTCTTGGGTCAAAAAACTTGGAAGCTGAACCAAACCGACCCATACGCTGTGCACCCTAGCTTAATCAACACTAGAACAATTAACCCAAAATTTACAAAAAAAGAGATGAACCAAAAAAAAAAGCATCCATTCCATAAAAATAGAACACTAACCTAATAAAATCCTAAATTAAATTAAACCTCATAAATAAATAAAATTATAAAATCTTTAATTTCTTCTTTATCCAACTCCTTTTGATCCCCGTCACTAAGGCCCATGAAAACACCACAAAATTTAAAACTCAAACCATAAGGCACAAAGACATTGAATGTGACCTTTTTGATTGTGATGCATAGCAATGCTCCAATCCCAAACATTCCAGGTTCATAAAGATATCACACATAAGAAATAAGTTCAATCCTTTCCAAGGGGGCAGCTTGACCAAAGTTTTTCGCTGAGAATTCAAGGACCACTCCAACACTCTTTTTTCTTATGGTGCAGGAGAGAGGAAAACTTTGGAATTCCTTTGTTTTAAATAACAAAAAAAGTACATTACATGGATAAGCTCCCAAACACCATTATGGCTAAACATTTTGTTTCAAACATTAAGAATCTCTTTCCCTCTATATGCACCAAATTGCTTCAAAATTTCAAAACATTTCTTTCCAACATATTCACCAAATTAGAGGCAAAGTAACACATCTCTAAAGCACCCTACCATCTCACCTCAGTGTGCATTTCTAAATACTCTGCCCCTCTGAACACCAAAATGCAAAAGCTAGAATGAAAGTACAAATAATAAACAAAGGACCTTCCAGAAAAAGAAAGAAAAAGATGACATGTCATGGTTGTAACTGAACTATGTTAAAGAGATAAGTCAATGCATTACATTCGTTCGGAGAGAGAGTTTCATAAGCACTCAAATTTTGAACCATCAGACCAAAAAATGTTGCTCAATATGCAACATCAGAGTTGAAGGAACTTGAAAGAATTAGCCCACTCTTTACCCAGAATTTAAACAAGTAAATTCAAAATTCAATTGATTTTTAAATGAAGGTTTGGCATCAAAGCACAATAAATTATCATCATGTCCGCACCCTGTTGCACACACTGATTACCTCAGAGAAGTTATCATCTGACAGCATGCAAATGCGAATGTCTTTCATCATATTAGGAACTTGAAGTAGAATCTCTGTGCAAGTGTTGCCAGTTCCAGAGGCTTTCCTCACACCTACAAAACAGTGAACAATGTTGCCAAGAGTTAATAATACAAGCTAAAGAAAATAGTATACATGAAGCACACATCCAGAGGGGACAGCCAGCGGCCACAGGATATAATTTTAACAAGCATTTGTATGAACAGTAAAGGCATTGACTTCTCCATTATGTTTAAATTTACTAAAATAAACCAATTTAAATTTCCTCACATGGGCTCACTTGCACCTTGCCCTTCCCACCTGCCAACGTGGTGAAGTCAGCTACGTACTAACGAGTAACATCAATATTACACCAGTTGGGTCCCCATCACGTGTCTCATAAGTGAGTGCAAGGTGTGAGCAAGTGCATTTCTGAAGTACTCAATCCACTCTAAGTCCTTGTGAGGAAGAGTTTAGCTTAGGTGTGCGTGTGCTGATAAAAAAAAATAAAAAAAAAGGGTTGTGTTCAACAAAAATATAGAACACAAAAATCATGAAATACAACTTTAACATAACGCCCATCAATGATAGGTCATATCACTTACTAATTCTTGTCTTTGCTTTCTTCTAAGCTTGTCCCCACCCCACCAATGCATTTTCAATAATACTATATAATAAGTTTCACATGTTGTCAAACATAGAATAGCAAAGCCTAAATGTTGTTAAACCATAGATCACCAGCACTTGCCTTTTCACTCTTATCTAAAGAATTCAAAAGACAAGGAACCGCTATTATTAAGCAATAAAGGTAAGAGCTAAATTAGTTAGCCTCAAGAAACAAAAGCAGTAGCAATCTGAACAGTAACATCTCAAATACCATCTAACATAAGGTCATATCTCTATAACCACTAGACGTGATGAAGCTCGTTGTTTTGATCCATATTGTCAATTAATATTGTAATTCCTATCAAAAAATTATAATACTAATAATAGTCCTACCTTGCATCACTAGTTGCTAATGAATCCGACAAATCAAAATCACTAAAAGAAGTGCAGAAAAGTAGAGAGAGTGATGTGACAACTTATAGTGACTTTTTGGCTAAAATGTATAGTTGACAAACAAGGCCTGAATGTTAATCATCATTCATGATGTGTTCCATTTATTATTTTCTTTACATCACTTTTTGCTATCTTTGTGTTAAACTAATATAAAAAAATATAAATCCCAATACAGAATAAAATTTCATCTATTAACATAACCGCACCACCAAGGACCACACACTTTACAAAAATCATGCAAATCAATTCCATATTCAAATTTGGCTCCATTAACCACTAATGGATCACACGTATAAACTTTGTGCTAAAATAGTAGATCTCAGGAAAACAAATTTTTAAACACAATTCTTGAAACAAATCATAATGAATGCATTTATATGTAACCAAAAAAAGTACCTGTAACTTGCAGAAGTTGGTGAGAATTTTGTTGGAAGTAGTCATTTGGATCAGATTTGACTCTCACAAAACTTCCCACTACTTTACTTTCAAAAGTTTCAGGGTCTGCCAGAAGATCCTGAACTAAACTCCTTTTCAAATACACAAGCTTTATATTTGCAGAAATTATGGCTGCAAAACAACTTTTAGGAGTTTCTGCAACTTTTTTCCTTTGATGAATATTTTTTCGGTCTGAACTGGAGGTTTTCTGTAGTTTACTGACCACCATGGTATTCTCATCGTTTTCCTCTGAACTGTATAAAAACTCATCCTCTGATCCATCTTGGTTTTCAAAGAAGTGTGTTTCCAGCAGATCATATATTTTAATTCGTACCACGGATTTCCTTCCAAAAAGATAATGGAGCCTCTCGTCACACAGAATTCTCTTCTTCTTTTGTGGGTGAATAAGGTTATTCTTGTTTACATAATCATTGATGATGGCAGCCACCTCATATTGGGAGATCTGTTTGCTAGTGTCTTTACCAATTGATTCAAGAAATTCTATGAGAGGCTTAGATCCCCACCCAACAAAGTCCATTTTCTTTGGTCTGACCTTTCTCTTCAATTTCATAGGAACAGACAGCAGCTCCTGTGATTCTTCCATGTAAAAAAATGGCACATCGTCCACTCTCTCATCCATAATGTCAGGATCAGATGCTAACAGTTGATCTTCTACAACTTTACTGAATCTATATGAATCAAGGTGTTCCTCTTGTTCTTGAACTTCTTCACATGGGCATTTGCAAAACTCCTGAAGAAAGAGCTCTTCCTCTTTTGTGTCTCGCTAAACTCCTTGAAAACAAACCTATGTGTTTATATAATATTATTAACCTGTCTGCAATGCAATGTAGAGAGCAATATAGAAATGAACGGCTGCAACAACCACAGAGATAGTAGACTCAACTGCTCCACAAGAAATAATTAAAGCATAAAACCTATGTACTGATGCACAATACTGCAATTGACTACTTTCTCCTTGGCCAACCTTAATTAACTGATTCCCTCACACCCTCCAGCAGCATTACATGTACAGATGTTGATTTCATTAGAAAATAATGGCATGAAGAGGGAGTACTATAATGACAAATGAACAATTTCTTACAACAGGACCATTTAAGTTCCAGTAGTTAACCACTAAATCCTTTCACATGGATTCTAGATGAAAAGCTCTAAAACAACGCCTATAACTAAACCAATGTTGTATCAAACCAAGTATATTAATTTCATGCGGCAGTCAACCAAGACTCTAAACTTGAAGCCCGCTAAACCCATAAACTAAAATAAGGGGGGAAAAGATATAGTCTTTTGATGGCATCAACCAACAACTCCAGAAAATAATTTGAACAGATAGATATAAATTTGAACAAATAGTAAAAAAGAAAAGTCAACAGATAAAACAAAAGTCAACAAATAAATTAAGGGGTAAAATTGAAGATAAAATGTCATCCCAAAACAATAAAAAGACTTCTTACCAAACTATTTCACAAAAGGTGGACCTCTCACTAACAAAAAATATCTACTAAGCCTAATGCTTTGTACCCTCCTTAGATTGGATTTATCACAAATTTTCTCTATTATTTAATAGGTCCTATATCTAGCGATGGGTCTATTTGGTCTTGACAAGCTTTAAGTTAGTTCAAGATGGGATAGATACATTTTATCCTTTCTCTTTTCTTTTTTTTTTTAAAAAAAAACGAAATTTAACAATAAATATTAATATTATTTTAAAGATACTAAAAAAATAAATTTTAAAATGTAAATTTTATTAAAAACATAACAATTTTAAAACTTTTAACACAAAATATACATAGGGGTGTTTTGGCAAGAGACTAAAAAAGCCAAAAGTCAGCTTTTAACCCATTTTTGGTCACATCATCTCTCACATGAAATAGTGAAAAAAACCAAAAAAGCCAAAAAATCAGCTTTTAACCATCTTCCCAAAACACCCCATAAAATAACAAATATGTAAATAATTATACTTGGCATCCCAAAATGTAGCCATCCCAAAACAGGCGTAAATATGCATTGCAAAACAACCGAGCCCTAATTTGGAGATAGAGCGAAAGATGTTGGCTGGAGTCACTGGAATGGAAATGGTCCTCTTCGACCAGAATCTTAGGTACTATCTCTACTTCTCTACTTCTCTTCTCTATCTTGTCTTCTTATTCTTATTATTCTCAACGTCACTGCGTGGCAACGAAACGCAATGTTATGACATGAAGAAAAGAGCCAAAAAAGAAGAAGAAAGGTAGGGAAATTCTAGCATACACATCCTTCAAAAGGGTGCATCATATGCATCCCTAGTTATGCCATTTTCTTCTTTAGTTATTATGACCAATTTTCTTCTTTAGTTATGACATTATTTTAGTCATGACTCATTAGTTCTTTAGTTATGCCCCATGTTGTGTTTAGTTATGTCAATTTTTTTTTAGTTATGATTCAGAAAATATGAAATTATATCATTTTCTTCTTTAGTTATAAGGTGAATATGGTACATACTCTTTGAAGGGTTTGTACCATAGTGTTTCCCAAAATGGTATATCATTGTATAATAAAACCGTAATCTAGCCGATTGATTACATAAAACACTCAACTAATTCTTATGGAAAGGATTTTTGAGAGTAAAAATATGAATTACCAAATTTTATACACAATAGTTACATCCAAATAGAATATTTGGTAATTCATTTAGGTGTCTAGCATTTTTCTTTTGATAATTATTAAATGTTTGCTCTGTCTCCCGTACTTCTTCAATCTTGTGGCTTTACTTTGTTATAATATGAAGCTCTTGCTCCATTATGGGAATGCTGTTGCTTAAAGCCCTGAACACTTTCACTTGTTATTTATTTATTTATTTAAAATATATACTTCTTATTTGTTAATGAGGAAATAAGTGAAGAAGGTCTATGATTTTATAAACAGGTACAGATAACTTTATCATACTATTATCTGATCTTTGATTTATTTGAACTTTTGTCTTCCTTGTTTATGTATTTATATATTTCTACCGAATGCATGATCTTACCAAGTTATTTGGGATACTTTTAAGGGGTTAGGAGTCTCAGTGATTTGAAAACTGCAGTTATGTTCCATAGGTCAATATCATTAAAGCTGCAGTTTCTCTTCTAGAGAGATGTGATTTTGCTTATTCATTAGTGGCTTATAACACAGTTTCATGTTGACCAGTATGCGGCTTGAAGATGAGTGCAGCATGGGGCTCATCCAGTCTACTAGTTATTAGAACTAGATCCAATAGTTGGGGTTTTGTAATTGGAGGCCCATGGAGCTAATTTCGGGAGCTGTTGGTTGATGCCATCAAAAGATTGTCAGTATTGATCTCCACAAGCTTTCTTTGTCTGTCTCCTGTTGAACATCAAATGGACCATGTCTTTTCCCCCCTTATTTTGGTTTATGGGTTTAGTGGGCTTCAAGTTTAGAGTCTTGGTTGACTGCCACATGAAATTGACATGATTACACATAGCAATGACATCTTCAAATAACATCAAATACCCATTCCCACTAACATATGTTAAAGCTATTAAAAAAAAAAGAGCAGAAAACCAGAAAAAAAATTTAAAAATTAGAAAGGCAAAACCAAATAAGCACTTAAAGTTATTAAAACATGAAACCCTAAATGTTATTAAAACATAAAATGAAAAAAAGAGATCTAGAGAGATCTAATATGCAACCAACCATGCATTATGAAAACAAATACAAAGAGAGATCAAAACAATGTGAAAATGAGAGATGGTTACCTAGGATTTCTGTCGCACAAAGCAGTGAATGAGCGGACAAATGAAGGGGTTATAACATGATGATCCAGTACTCAGTGGTGACGTTCGTTGTGAGAGAGACACGAAAGCCAAAGACTTCAGACAGAGAGAGAGAAGACCAGAGAAGAGACTCAGAGGGTTTGAGTGTCTATTCTTCTCTTTTAAAGGTGGGAGAGAAATAAATAAAAAAGAAAAGAAGAGTCAGGTAGATGAAGACCGGATGAGAGAAATAAATATCTACCTATCTATTTATACTATCTATATAAGCAAATGTAGTTGTTATGTCAAAAGACTCCATAATTTTATAAGAAAACTTAATAATAATAATAATAATAATAATAATAATAATAATAATCAAGATAAAAATAAGAATAAAAAAAGAAGCAAAAAATAAAGCTTATCTCTTTGTTAAAAAACTTTTAAAAAATAAAATAAAATAACCATAACCAAGAGATAAAAAGAAAAAAAAAAGATAAAAATCTCATATATTTATCCTTATCTCTGTTCTAAAAAATTTTAAAAAATCTTCTCTCGTTCTTCTTCCAAAACATTGTTATGTTATTGAAAGTTGCAATCATTTTTTCCTCATTTTTTTTATTTATTTAATTGTTGTTAATGTGTGGCTATCTGATTGATCTATAAATTAATTTTATATTCTTAAAATAAAATTTTAAATTTAAATAAAATCAGACATAGTTACTAGTTATCAATTTTCTAAAGACTAGTGAGGTTGGCTGTGTGCAACGCACGCAACCTAGTGCCCATTACAAATAAATTTCATATAAATAAATCTTTCCAATGAAGAGAAGAAGAGGCTAGAAAAATGAGAGAATATATGTATATAAAAAAAATTCTTACCAAGCCACAAAAATGGTGAATCCTGCAATATGAGCAAAGAGGTACAAATTCTTTAGTCACTTTGAAACACATAGAACATTGCAATTCCAATCAAGGACATTATTTACAAGGCATTGTGACACTCATGATATGACTAAAAAAAAATCACTATGGAACATTTTTGTGTATTTTTTGTTATACCATGAGGGTACTTTTTAAAGTATAGTGCCTAGTGTATCTTTGTGTGCATATATGTTGATAAAACTTAATTGTGAAGGGAAGATTGAAATTTCTCAAAAAGACAACCAGAATAAATTGCAATATCTAAATAGCCCACCTGCGTAAACTGCAAACCAAATAGCCAATTGAAATAGCCAACCTACAAATATTATTTAGATAAACAATTCAATATCTAAACAAGACAATTCTTTAACAATCAGCTAATGTTAACTCTTGTTTGTAATTTATTTAGGTTGGCTATTGTAGAACATTCTTTCTACATTCAGGTTGGCAATATTCAAATTGCAAACAAAAGGCAATATTTAATTTGTTCTTGAATAAACAAATTTTAATGAACAATAGCATTCATTTAAAAAGAACAACAGTAAACTTGAATGTTAGAAAAATTAGAAAAAAAATAACCTTAGCATTTATTTATTGTTAAATGATTAAAAAAACCCCACAACAAGAAAACGAATTATATTGCAATAGCTATGACAAGTTTATCATGTTCATGTTTTTTGTCAGTCAACATAATTTTCTAGAAACTAATTTGATTATAGATCTTGTTAGAACTATAATCAATTTGGCATCACAACCAAACCTAAGACCAAAGATGTAAATGGAGAATTTTCTATTGAACCCACCATGTCTCTTGAGCAAAACCAAGGCACACATACATTCTCATATACAAATGAGGCAACTCTTAAAAGTTTCAACAATAAAGCTATCTTAACTTCAAACAGAACAAGTAACAGCACTTCTTCAAGAAAGTTCAGATATGTAAATGGGTCCATTGATTTTGGTGTTCAAAATATTGGCATCACAACCAAACCTAAGACTAAAGTTTATGAAAAATTAATATCAAACCGATAGACGAAGGTAGACACAAACCAATTGAAAATAGTCAGCTCCATTTTTTTATTTTTTATTTTTATTTTTAACACCTACTTCTTATTCTCATTGTCACAAATATAACATATATTGATACACACTGGCCAAACAATGAAAGGCAAGGATTTTTTTTTTTTCTATTTTTAAACAAATCATCAAAATAATGAGCCTCAACCTTCCCATTTCAAATCTCTGTTATCAGAATCTTGCGATTTACGATTCGATTCCCAATTTTTGCAAAATCGATACGAATCTATGGGTGAATCTATTTTGGAAGTGAATCTCTAGTGAATCGTACGATTCACAATCGATTAACGATTCGATTCACTTTTTACGATTCATGTAATTTTTGAAATTATTGTGTTCAACATATTTTTGACTCTTTTTTTGTCCATTTTTTAGTGAAAATGACATAATACAACTTCTAGTAGCGTTTTCAAAATAACTAGCGCATATACATGATTTGTTGTTATTTTAGTAATCATGGAGTTTTTAATAGGATCCAATCAGGTTCAGTCAGACCTAACATATTTTTAACCTTCTTATTTTTTTTCCCTTTAAAAAATCATAATATATCTTCTAAAGATGTTTAAAATTAAAGTTACACTATGAATTATCTATTGCTACTTTATTAAATTTAATATTACATGTATGAGATCAGTTATATCTTTTAAAATGTTTTAAACTTTAAAATAAACGATTCTAAATAATTTTTTCTTACTATTTGCTCACTGTTACTTAGAAAAATATGTATACCTATTGTCCAAATATTAATATTGTTGTAAATTATTGTTATTTTAGAAATTGATAGTTTGTCTATTTGGTTATTATCTTCATTAAGAATGGTTGTTAAGAAATATCTAAAAAAGAAAAAAAGGTAAGATGGTGATTTTATATAGGAACCTTTGTTAACTTCTTACCTATTAAACTACGTGATTATTATTCAAAATAACATTTTCATAGATTTAAGTCTAAATATTTTATGTTCATAAGATATATTTAACATCTAAATGTATAGATATATGTTTTTAAATAATTTAAAAAAAATGACCGAATCTTTACGATTTACGATTCAATTTGATTCGATTTGCGATTCGGTACGAGGTCATTTCGATTCACGATATGAATCCCGATTTGACAACTCTGTTTCAAATACAATTCATAAACATGAATACATAAATAAATTTTTTGTGGCAGATTTCAATACATATTAAAATAAACTTGACAGTTTAAAAATCATAAATGAATTAAAACTCATTAGTACCTTGTGGTCCGCTGGCTTGTTGAGATATCAATGTTAAATGGGTTTGAGTTGATAATGCATTTTCAATGAAGACAAATAAAAATATTAGCAAGTCAATACTATCAAATTGATGTTTAGTGAAAATGAAATATGGGCTAAAACTGATTTTTAGGGACACAAAATATAGATATTATATGATAATATATAAGCTGAAATCAATGAATTGTTTAAAATAAATTTGACTGCTTTCTCACTAAGGGTGAAATATAAAATAGTAAATGTGCTTAATAGTTCTTTTTTGATTAGAAATTTATGCTCAATACTAGAGAATTATAGACCGCTGTTGTGCGATATTAACACTGAACCAAATCATTCGGTTTGTAATTTTGTAGAAGTGGTGCTACATCCCCCTAATTCTATCTCTAATGAGGTGACCCACTCCCATGTGAAGTGGTCCCACACTTCTCTCCCTCTCATCTTTAGCCTCCCTAATGCCACATTTTAGGCCTGTAAATGGATCGGATTCGGATCGGATCTGTCAAAATCCGAATCCGATCCGATTATGTCAAACCCGAATCCGACCCGAATCCGTTTAGTCTATGTCCGATTATAGATATCCGAATCTGATGATTTCGGATATCCGATCCGATAATCCGATCCGATCCATTTATTTATTTATTGAGCTACAATTTTATATAATTTGATTTTATTTTTTTTTTCATTTTGTGTTTTTTTTCATTCAAATTGAGAATACTCGGATCGGATTATCAGGTTATCGAGTCGGATCGGATTTTTGTAGATTCAATCCATTTAATAAATGGATTAAACGGATTCGGATTATCGGATTTTCGGATCGGATTTTTTGTAAATGTATTCGGATTATCGAATTGGATTCGGACCGGATTTGGGTTAAATCCGATCCATTGACAGCACTACCACATTTTTAGAGGTGGGATTAGGGGAACAAAATTAGAGGGATGAATCATTATTCAATTTTGTAGCTAGGCCTAAATATTCTTTTTTATTTTTATTTTTGATAACTTGCTATCCGGCCCAATGGACCGACTAATCCGAGGGACCAAACTGCTTAAATATTCCTTATACTAAGTAGATTTGGCCTTTCAGAATTAGGCTGAAGTAAGAATAATTTACTACCAATTAGTGAAAATGAGCAATCTTTCATTCATTAGCACAATATATATATATATATGTTAGTCATTATATCATAGTAAAAAAAGTTCAGGAAAATACAGCCATTGGACACTTACCTACATGACTAATGGACAACCAAACACAAAAACAAAACTTCAACAACAAACGGCAGTAGCAAGTTTACAGCTCCAAAATGCCAGGAAAAAAAAGGGCATAAAATACTATATACCTCACCAATGCTGCATACGCACATGAACGCAACACACACAGTCAAATCTAAGAGATTAATGATCACTGAGATTCCTTGATCAACCACGGGAGAGCAGCTGCTATCCTTCAATAATATCACAGTTCATGCTGTTTGAGTGAGATAGAAATTCAGATAAATGAGAAGTAAGAAATCACATTATTTTTTGGGGGAAAAAGAAATCAAGATCAGGATCGCTAAGAAGAAAAAATTAGAATGAAAACAAAATACAAGGAAAAATCCAAAATTATCTTCAACACCAAACCCTCACATAAGCAACTTACCAATGAATATATATAGTGTGAGTGAGATGATGATCAGGGAAATACCAGAGCATGCTGAGTGTAACCAAGACCCAGTATTATTAATCTAAAAACAGTTCTGCCACTATACAGCTTATAAGGTATCATGGATATTGCCTGACAATTCCATAACATGATCTAATAATGCATGTTTTGATACTTATAATTAGTTTCTCCCATGAACCCTTTCTTGTTATGCTGACTCAACAAGATCATCATTGATCATTGATAAGTAACAATCTGCTCCTATTTTAGAACAATAATTTTTCAAACCAATGAAGCTAATTTTTCAACACACATTCAGTAACCATTCAAGCTAATTTTCAACTCACCGAAAATAAAAATGAACTAATTTTTTTTTTTATAATTAATTCAAGAAATTAATTTTTATACGATCACAGCGTTAGGGTTCTCTCTAATTTTAGATTCAATAAATTAATTTTTTTTATACAATCACAACTAAGCGGGACCCTAATTTTCGTAACAGAACCCAAAACTTTTTAGATTCAAAAAATTCAAAAAAAAAACAAAAACAAATTCTACGTTCAACCCATTAAAGAACCCAAGCTTTCAATTTTTCCAACTCAGATTCAGATATTTTTCCCAACTCACATTCAAGAAATTTAATTAAAAAAAAAATATTCACAACCTAAAAAAGAGCCCTAATTTTGGCGTTCCTCAATCCAAAAATAATTTTTCAATGGAAATCCCCAAATCAAAACCCTAGTTTGAATCTCCAAACCTGGTTTAAGGCTGGAAGCGTTTTTCTTCCCCGAATCTCTTTGGCGTGCGTATCGTCTCTTCTGTCTCCTTCCGGCGTTCTTCTACCGGCCGTCTTCTGTCTCTCCGTCGTCTCCTCTAGCTCGCCCCCTATCTCTCTCTCTCTCTTCCTCTTCGTTCTTCTCTTCTGGTATAGCTCTTTCTCTCTCTTCGTTCTTCTCTTCTGGTTTATCAATTTCCCACTTATGCCCTCATACCTCAAAGTAGATAGTAGAACAATTTGCAATGAGAAAGGAGGGTAAATTCGTCCTTTCACATGGGACGGAATTTAACATATCCAAAGTTAAAAAGTGACCATAAAGTTAAAATTCTCCATGCATTTAAGTTACAATTCTCTATATATTTTTAAGTGACTATAAAGTTAAAAAGTCGCAATTCTCTATATATTTTTTGTACATTTTGAAGTGACTATGGGGTTGTTTGGGATGTTCTAAATAAGTGTACTTTTTGATTTTTTATGAAATATGGGTTGGGTTTGAAGTGATGTGGTAGAGAGGTGATGTGACTTATATAAGATGATGTGACTTAAATAGGATAGTGACTTTTTGACTTTTTGACTTTTTTTGAACATCCCAAACTTAGCCTATATAGTTAAAAAGTTGCAATTCTCTATATATGTTTTTACATTATAAAAAATAATATGTTCACAAACTAAACCCAATAATAATAATAATAGTAATAAAAAAGGGACAAAAAGAAAAAAAAAAGAGTAAAAAATAATGATTATCCCTTTACTAAAAAAATCTTTAAAAAAAAAACAAAAAATAAAAAGATAACAATTCCATAGAGTTAAACTTATCTCCTAAAAAAAATCTAAAAAATCTTATTTCACATTTTCTTTGATTTAGGGTTTAGGATTTTAGGATTAGGGTTTAGGGTTTGGGGTAAAGGATTTAGGATTTAGGTTTTAAGATTTGGGTTTGAGATTTAGGATTTGGGGTTAAACTTATCTCCTAAAAAAAATCTAAAAAATCGTATTTCACATTTTCTTTGATTTAGGGTTTAGGGTTTTAGGAATTAGGAATTAGGTTTTAAGGTTTAAGTATTAGGATTTAGGGTTTGAGGTTTGGGGTATAGGGTTTAGGGTTTAGGGTTTAGGATTTGGGATTTAGGGTTTTGGGTTTTGGGTTTTGGGTTTTGAGTTTATGGTTTGGGGTTTAAAGTTTAGGGTTAGGGCTCACAGTTTATAGTTGAGGATTCAGGGTTTAAGGTTTTAAGTTTAGGGTTTAAAGTTTAAGGTTTAGGGTATTGGGTTTTGAGGTTTTAGGGTTTAGAACTTAGGGTTTAGGGCTTAAGGTTTTTAAGAGTTTAGGGTTTAAGATTTAGGATTTTTCGGGGTTTAGGGTTTTTAGGGGTTTAGGGTTTAGGATGCCAAGGTAGCAACACATGTTGCAGCTCAGGCTGCAGCCAAGGCAGTAGTCAAGGTAGTAGCCCAGGCAGCAGCGGAGGCCGCAGCTAAGGTCGTAGTGTAAGGCAGCATCGCAAGCTGCAGCCAAGGGAGTAATCAAGGTAGCACTGTAACAACCTCGACCCATGATTAACGTATAATCCATGATTAAGAATACTATGGTTTAAGAACGAGAACATGCGTTAATTGTGCATTTTGTATGTGTTTTACATTCCTATATGTTAATCGTAGGAATATTTGTTTAGATTTCTGCTTTGTTCTGTTAATTGAAGGCCTTATTAGCCACCGATCATGAGATTAACTAAGTTTATGTGTTATTTAGAATTTTTAGAATTTTCTGGTAAGTTTTATTAGAATTCAATTCGGAATCAAATAATTTGAAAAAATTAATTATCAAGTTGAATCAACTTTGCTCTAATCACAATTAATTAGCCTAAGCTAATCAAGCATATAAATAGGCCACTTATAGTTGAGTAGACTCATTCCTACCATCATCTTGAGCAACAAAACGTGAGGGAGAGAGAGAATTGAAGTGAGAGAAACAAGTTGAGGAAGACTTGGAGGATTTGACTTAGAAACTCAGACAATTAGCCAACTAGAGTTCAATTAAGCATCTAAGGTAAACAATCAAGCCTTTAGTCTTGTAATTTAATTGGTTAGTGCATGCATTCAAAGAAATTGGGCCATGAGATGTATGAATTTAACTAAGGAAGTAGTAAAGAAGAGCATCTCATGCATGAATACATAATTCTCATAATTTTGCAAGTTGATTCTCAAGAATTTCCACATACATGTCCATATCTTGGTTTTGTTTAAGGAACCCAACATGTTTTTGACCTCAACATCTCATTTGCTCATGATTTGGAAACTTGGAGCTCAAATCACTCCATGCATGTCATATTCATGTTATGTTTTCACAATTCAAGTTTGAGTTTACTCAATTGACAAGCTTATAGGCCTTGATTTCTTGGAATGATCTTTAATTCTCAATGTACTTCAAATTTAGACATGTTTTCTTGAGTTTTGGCCCAAAAGAGCAGGATTTATGGCTTTGAATTTGAGTTTTGATGCTTAAGAGCAAATTTGAAAATTTCAGAATTTTGCTCTCCGCTCGAGCGACATAATCTACACTCGAGCGACCACTCTATGATCTTGTACTTTCGCTAGAGCGACTAGAAGTTTGCTCGAAGGTAAAATGCAAGCTCTTAGAAGTTTCATGTTTTTACAGATCACTCGAGCGACAAGAGTTGCGCTCGAGCGAGGACCTGAGTCTCACGTTCGAGCGACCGTCGAGTGGAAAAAGTATGCAACCAGCACTTTTGTAGAGTTTACAAACCGCTTGAGCAACAGAAGTTGTGCTTGAGCGACCACTCATATTTTGCATGTCTGCTCGAGTGAAGGAAGTTGCGCTCGAGCGAGACCCCTGTTTCCAGCAAGTTTTCTTAAATGTTTTCAAGTGCATTTTTGCTTCCTCATTTCATCCTAGGCATTCCTAGGCCAAGATTAAGACACAATAATGAGGATAAAAGTAGAAACACCTAAGTTAACAATTCGGTGTAATTTAGTACGTATTTGTTCTGTATCTGTGTAGGTCATGCACTGTGAGCTATTCAATCTGTCTGCTTCTGGAATTATCTGTGAGTAATAACTCTATAAAGTTATGTTTAACTTTAATTATTTTATGATGATATGAAATGATCAGTTTTCTGAAATGCTATGTTTTGTATGAATGAATGATTGTCCAAATTTCTGAAATGTGTTTGTGGCATCATTAGCATTATATGATACGTGTCCCATTATGGGTCATTGGTATGCCTTTATGGCCATCCCTTTATGGGTCATCGGAAACGTTTCTATGCACACGAGTCATCGAAATGCCTTTATGACCGTCCCTTTATGGGTCATCAAAAACGTCTCTGTGCACATGAGTCATCAGAATGCCTTCATGGCCGTCTTTTCATGGGTCATCGGATTTGTTAACGCTAATGAATGTGCCACGCAATATAATGTGAAATGTATGAACTTTGAATATGAAGATGACTACGTATATGAAACTGCTTTTGTTTTGACATCCGATCATGTATAAGACTTTGTTTCTTTATGGACATCATTCAGTAAAATCTTTACTCTGTTATTATTCACTGGGCTTTCGCTCACTATTTATTATTTATGTATGTAGGTGAGTAGACGCGTGACCAGGCCTAAGCTATTGCTCGGGGAGTTGGGTCAGCTAGCTAACGTACCTCCCGTGGAGGTTTACTTTTGAGATTCGATCAAGTTTTTGAGTCTTTGGGACTTTTGCACTTTCTGATGTTTATGTTTTATCTGAACATATTTTGGAAGTTCTGTATATGTGGCTTTGGTGACGTATAACTAATGTATTTATATAACGTCACTCTTATATATTGAAGTTTAAGCTTTTGTTCCATGTATGTTTGCACAGCTCTATGGACTATGATTATTTCTATATTTTCTTCCGCAGCCCCATATCATATGTTTTTCATGCCAGAGGCCTTTGGTAATCCTAGTATGTTTTATCTGAACATATTTTGGAAGTTCTGTATATGTGGCTTTGGTGACGTATAACTAATGTATTTATATAACGTCACTCTTATATATTGAAGTTTAAGCTTTTGTTCCATGTATGTTTGCACAGCTCTATGGACTATGATTATTTCTATATTTGCTTCCGCAGCCCCATATCATATGTTTTTCATGCTAGAGGCCTTTGGTAATCCTAGGATTACTGGCCGATTATGATGCTAAACCTATAGGGGCGGGTTTGGGTCGTGATAGTAGCCATGGCAGCACAACCAAGGCATCAGCCCAGGCAGTAGCGTAGGCCTCAGCCCAGGCAGTAGCATAGGCCGCAGCCAAGGCAGCACAGCCAAGGCCGCAACCTAGGCAACAGCGCATGCCGCAGCTAAGGCAGTAGTGCAAACTGCAGCCAAGGCAGTAGTATAGGCCGTAGCCAAGACAGCAACACTAGCCGCAACACAGTCTGAAGCCTAGGTCGCCGCAAAGGCCGCTTCGCAAGCTGCATCCCTGTCCACTACATATCGATCCATGAATACTTTTCGAGGAATCATCATCTTATCCAAATGCAAATTATTTCATGTCACATTGCACTGGTTGTTTTGTATCACTTATTGTGTCTTTTAGCGCTTTGTTTGACAATGTGTCGTACTTCGTACATTTTTAACGCTTGTTTTGAACATAATTCTTTTATATTGTTACCTAAACCATGCAATATATAATTAATAATGCACTAGTATTATTTTTGAATGTCATTTCCTATTTTTTTTGCTATTTTTCTTGAATTTTTTTGATTTTTTTAAATATTTATTTATTTGTAAAAATTAAAATAAAAATAAAAATAAAATTTAAAAAAAAATTACTATAATTACAAGTGCCTCATCCTTTAATTATTGGATTCATTTCTACAATTTTTTCACTATTTTTACTAATTTTCATTATTTTTTTAAATATTAAAATAGAAATAAATTAAAATAAAATATTCCGGTGGCCAAATTTATTTTAAAATTTTTTTTATGGTGTCTTGATTTATTTTCTTTGAGTTATGATTGAAAATTCGTGAAAGAAAATATTACTTTTAAAAAAACTCCGTTATGATTCCTCGAGCATATGTGATGTTTCCTTTTGCCAGATGGAAAAGGGCTTAACAAGCTACTATAGGGGGGCACCTCCCTTAAGGCTGGCCAGCATGGACAGGCCATAGACCATGCCTATGCTAGGGTGCGTGCTTGGCATATGCCATTGCTTGG